TGGGATTAGGGCAGAGTTTCCAACATGTATTAAAATGGCCCTAAACACATACTTCTGTATTATGTTTTTAGGATAAAAAGTGTTCTTGGTCTTAACAATAATAACATCACAATATTGATGAGCTCTGAAAAACACTGCAGATGCTCTCTTGTGATGCAGTACCAAATATTCAGTCAAGATTCAATTCTTAGCTAGGTGTGGTGGTACACGCCTTTAATCCCAGCACTTGGGAGGCTGAGTTTGAGGCCAGCCTGGTCTACAGCAAGAGTTCCAAGACAGCCAGGGCTACACAGAGAAACCTTTTCTCAAAAAATAAAATTAAAATGATTTAATTCTTTGCATAAAAATATAAGCTTGTCCATCTCATTAGCATGCCAATTTGAAGTTCAGCTTCAAAAAATGGAAAATTACATATCCACCAAATTATTGTTTTAAAATAAACTCCTTGATGATTTGCTATCATCAAGTGTGTGATTGTAAACCTGTTTTAGATACCTATATCAAACTGTAACAGAAATTTCTCAGGTGAAAGGGGTCACGAGAAGAAAGGTTTAGAGAGCCCTGGTGGACGACTCTTCTGTCTCGGGGAGGTGAGTTGGAGGCCCATGTTCTGGTGCCCTCTCACCACTTGGTGTTTTATGATATTAGTGAAAAGCACGTTTCTGGGAAGACAAACCTCAACTAGAAAGTGGCTCCATCAGGTTGGCCTGCGGGCGAGTCTATCAGGCATTTCTTGATTTAGGATTGCTGTGGGAGGGTCACTGCGGAGGCTGCCAGTCCTGGGCTGTGAGAAAGCAGGCTTCCTGAGAAGCAGGCCAGGAAGCAGCGTTCCTCTGTGGTTCTGCTCTCCTCCTCCTTCCAGGTTTCTGCCTTGATTTCCCTTTCTGATGGACTGTGATCATGACATAGCCAATAAAACCCAAACAAACCCTTTCCTCCTCAAGTTGCTTCTGGCTGTGGTGACTTTGTGACAGCTACAGAAAGGCAACTAAGACAAGACACACCCGACGTAGCCTACTGCTGCTTGACTGACAGCGGGCTCCACGTCAGGGCTGGTGTGCAAACAGCTGATTAACTAGATGCCGGTCTAGGTGACAGTAGCTAGCTCACACGGGGCTTTTTCTTACACCCTCTGGATGTCCCAACTGTAACACTCATTCCAGGTCTCCGAGCAAGGAGTGTCCGTCATGACCCCCACCATCTCCTCCCTCACAAAGTCAGGGAGGGCTGTTGGGAGCGCACAGCCTGAGGAAGAATGATGAAGCCTTCAGGTTATTTTGTCTGAGAGAGCATGCAGGATTTATGCCCTTGTTGAGAATGCCTTGTTGCGTCCCTGTGGACTCCATCCTTCTGCCTCAGAGTTTTGCTGTTTGTTTCTGGGTAGCATTTTACAAGGCATATAGGGATCAAAATTACTGGGGAAAGCTACTTTATGATTTATGGGGAAGAGATAAAAATAATGGATGAACCATTCATTTCCTAAGCGGACTTGCTGGCATGTTCCGTTTCCTGTGGTAGAGTCCAGGCAGAGCTGTTTTCAAGCCAGCCACACCCTGGGGCGCTGCCGCAGCAAAGGAGACACAGACAGGACACATTTGGGGACACAAAGCCTGTTTGCCAGCTCAGGACGTCACTCTGGGCTCTGACAGGATGTGGATTCACCAAATTACGCTAAGAGTCCTCCTCACAAGACAGCAGCCTGGCGGGCATTGGCGGCGGCTTGGCAGCTCGGCCCTAAAGACGTGCAGAAAACACAGGCAACTTTGGTGTTTGTTTTTGTTTTTGTTGTTTCTGTTTTTTTTTGTTTTTTTAAATAGAGATGTTAAACAACAGAATTGTATTTTAGTAAGATGAATTTGGTGATAGGATGGATGTGAGGCAAAGAGTCCTGAAGACACAGAGCTGGGAAGACAGCCCAGCCAGCAAAGTGCTTGCCTGGTAGTCCTGAGGACCTGAGTTCAAGCCCCAGTATTAACATAAAAATAAAGAAGTAAAAATCCAGGCATGATGGCACATGTCTGTAATACCAGCCCCGGGATGCAGTGGCAGGTGGACCCTGGCTCTCGTCCAGCCAGCCTCACCTACTCGGTAAGTGCCAAAGAAGGTGGATGGTGCCTGAGAAACAATACCTGAGGTTTCCTCTATGCCACACAGATTCAGACAAGTCACAAGAGTTGGTCACCCCTCTTCTCTACCTGAGGGAACTTCTCTATCTGAGGGAATCCAAACTACATTATTTGGATTTGAACCCAGAACTAACTTTCTGCACTTTGGCTTCATGGCCTCGTTTCCAGTCTTGGTGCCTGGAAAAGAATGACCACATTTGTTGGGGTGGGTGGTCAGGAGAAGGAGCAGGCAGGCATGTGAGTGAAGGCAGGATGGGCAGCTGAGGTGGTTACTTGGACATGTGTAGAGAGCTGGTGTCCTGCCAGCATCTTGAGGGGACATGTCCAGCAGACTCTGTGTTCTGGCATGGGGAGGGAGCCGGTTTTCATTAAAAAGAATGAAGCATCTGTAAAAGTATGATTGGCTGAATTTCCTGGTCAAGCTGTTCAAGAAAAGCCAGCTGTGGTAACAAACAGGAAGGCCACGACCCGGCTGTAGACAGAGAGGTAAACAGAGCAGGTCCACTGAAGTGCTCAGGCCTCTGGTTCATTGGGACTGTGCCGACACTACACAGGAGACCAGGACCAGGCCTTGAAGGAGGGGAGGAACATATGTCCCTCAAGCTCCCCTTCTCGGGGCTGCCTGGCCACCACAGTCATGCAGGGATCCTCACTCCAGAACCGTGCAAACCAGACCATCATAGGGATGAGCTCTGCAAGTGGTGTCAGCATGAGCCAAGGTCAAGACCCTTGGGGGGAAGGGTAGGCTGGCTTTGGAGACAACCGGAAGGAGGGCATGCCATAATGCCTAACGCACTTATGCTACCTCAGGAACATCTACCTGATTCTTCTCCACTGGCTACCTGGGGAGACAGGAGCTGAATACAGAAATAACTGTCCATCTCAGTTATGTACTGGGAAATCCATGACTAGAACTCAGGCCTGCTGATCCCACATTAAGGACTCCAGCAGAACATCCCACAAGGCAGTTCCGGAGAGGCGAGGTCCACTCCGCCCGGATTCATGTACAAAGATGGAGGTCTAAGAAGTAGCTGTGGTACACTGGAGTTCATCTGAAAATAAAGTCCGGTGACTGTATGGGGGCCTAGTGGGGTGGAAGGGCACACAGGGGAACCTGAAGGGAAGATGGAGATGGAGAGATGGCCTGGCAGCCTGGGAGCTGAGGGGTGGCTGCAGGGAAGGGCCAGCCATCGATGAAGGGGGTAGAGTTGGGGAGTGGGACCTAGGGAGTGGCTGGAGGGGGCTGTGGTGCTGCACAGGGTCAAAAGGCCTCACCTCTGGGGTCAAGACAACACGAGGGGAGGCTCGGTCCTGCCCGCATTGCCCATATGGATTCTGGGCCTTAAAGGGAACACCACCTCCCCAAGCAGGTAGTCATCTACTAATTCGGACATCCCGTATAATTTAAAACACAGTCCCAGGGTTGGGAGTGAAGCTCAGGTGGCAGAGTGCTTGCCTAGGATGTGCCAGGTGGGTTTGACCCATCACCACATAGAACTACACCTGGTGGTAGCGTGTGTCTCTAACCCCAGCATCCCAGCATTCTAGAAATGGAGGCAAAGGGATCAGAAGTTCACGGTCATGCAGGCTCTCCTACCTCTGCAGCTTCCTGTGTAAACTAACCAGTAGAACCGCCTGTGGGGGCTGAGGACAAGGGAAATAACTCATCTAACAGAAAGCCCGGCACACTGGGAACTGCCGAATCACGTGCATCTGAACGGCAAGCAAGGCTCAGCAGTGTCCAAACCAGTTAGTGGGCCGGCAAGATGGCCCGGAGAGCAAAAAGGGTTGCTATGCAAGCCTGGCTACCTGAGTTTGGTCCCTGCAGCTCACCAGTGGGAGGAGACAACTGACTCCTGCAGCTCACACCTGTAACTCTTCCGACCTCCACACACATGTTCCATGGTGTGATCTGACTGCATACTGTTTGTGTATGTAAGCTCACGTGCGCACACACACAAACACAACAACAACAATAACAATATGTAATGCTAGCTTGGGATAATAGTGCACCTTTAGCCTCCCTAGACTGAGGCTGGGTATTGGGAGTTTGAGGTCAGCCAACGCTATAGGGCAAGACGGTCTCAGAAAAAGGCACCACCCCTGTTACCAGGAGCAGCGGCAGTGGGAGTGAGCCTCAGAGCCTCAATCCGGCCACTAAGCCTCGCAGGCTAGTTACCCACACGGGGTCTTCTTCTTTTTTAAATCTAGCATAACAGCTCCAATGCGTGCTCTTTTTTTTCACATTGATGTTGGGACGATTTCATTGAGAAGTCATGGAAAGCTTTTTATCAAAGCGTCTGGAAAAAAAAATCACTACTCAATTTATTATTATTATTTTTGAGACAGGGTTTCTCTCTAGAGCTCTGGCTGTCCTGGAACTCACTCTGTAGACCAGGCTGGCCTCAAACTCAGAGATTAGCCTCTCTCTGCCTTCCAAGAGCTGGGATTACCTCCCAGCTCACCATTCTGTGAAGCTCACACCCGTAACTCCAGCTTCCTCAGATCTGAGGCCCCATTCTGGCTCCCATGGGCACACACGTGGCATACACTCACACGGGCACATATGTGTAAATAAAAATAAGAATAAATCTTTAAAAACACACCTAGAATCCCTTCTCTGGGGACTGGAAAGGTGCGTTTCTGGCAAGTCCTCGGGTGCTGTCAGTGCTGTTGGTCTGGGATGCTGTGGAGAAAGCAGAAGCTAAGCTGCCTGTTCAGGGAGACGCAGATAAACAGACCTCCGGGCTGCCAGGAGCGTCCAGGACTGCCCAGCGGTTACACTGAGGGGTAGAGAGAGGAGATAGAGCCTTATTGGATTCCTTGTCAAATGGGTAGGGTCCGTGACCTCAGATACAGGACTCCAAGTGCGTGTTTTATCATTTATTCATTTGACAGGGAACAGACACTCAGTCCTGTGAGACATCATGTTGTTGACTGGAGGATTCACCATTGAGCAACACTCCTTTGAAGCCTTACGAGGGGCCCTTGCACGGCCTGCCAAGGACAGCCCAAGCATTGCAGGAAAGAGCCAGTCCTGTCCCCTCTAGGTCTTCTCAGAGAGCCTGTGTCCCACAGCCCTTCAGAGCCGTCACACTCGCTCCTGCCAGACACTGTCAAAACTGCTCGCAGACAGAAGACGACCCCCCAGCCGAGGCCACGCTGCACATTTTGTCTACCTTACAAATGTATAAATTAAGAGGTCTACGTGGATACAAAAGCTTTCTAAGGGGACTGGACTCCGTTCTCTGTCAGGCTGTTGGCGAGGACCTCGGAGCACAGACGGTTTTCAGTGCAGCTGGTGTTAGAGCGCGTTATGAGCAGGCTCGGCCTCTCTCGTGTCCGCCGTGGAAGCCCCTGGTGTTGTCAGGGCCTCTGGGCAGCCGCAGCACCCCCACGGGCAACCCGTCTGCCGTCTGCATCTTCCGAGACAGCAGCGGGCTCGCCCCCGGGCTTTTCTCCTGAGTCCCCATCTCGGCCTGGCGGCGTCTGCGAACCCAGGGGCTGCCCGAGGGCGTGGCGCTGCTGTCGGAGGAGTAATCCACGCAGCGCCGGAAGGCCTCGGGGCTGCTGCTCCAGCTCAGCCTGCCTTCTTCCGCCAGCGGGGACTTCCTGGGCACGCCCTTGCGCTGCGCCGACGGGCTGCTCCAGGGGCTGGAGCAGGGGGAGGCGTTCGGGCTCAGGAACAGGCCCTGGTGGCCCGCGGGGCTGAGCCTGCCGGCGGCCGCGTGGCGCCGGCCCGCCATTGGAGAGGCGGGATTGCTCTCGGGGTCGGAGGAGCTGTTGGCGGACGACTCGTCCGCCGCGTACTGCAGCTCCTCCACTCTCCTGTTCAGGGACCTGCCGAGGTGCGGGCTGGGGGCGGGCTCGTCGTCGTGGTTCTTATCCCTGGGGGGCTTCTTCTTGGGCGGCTTCATGCCGATCAGCACGGCCTTCATGTTCGCCCGGCCCTGAGACTCGGCGACCATGAACTCGTGGGCCCTGATGGCCGCGTCCACCTCCTCGAACTCCACGATGGCGCACTCTTGCGTCCCCAGCTGGCTGTAGCGGCTGCTGATCCTCCGGATGTCGGGGGGCAGCTCCCGCCCGGGTTTGAGCATCCGCACGGAGGAGATGACTCCGAAAGCCCCGAAGAGCTTGAGCAGGTGCTCCATCACCTTCTCCTGCACCCGTCCGTTCTTCTGGGGCGTGGCCGGCGCCCAGAGCTCGGGGGACAGGTGCAGGTCGTGCACCAGCAGCATCTTGCTGGGGAGGCTCTCGTTGGGGAACAGTGGCACAGGGGTGGTCCTCCTGACCTTCCGGTGGTCCTCATTCAGCTCCAGGGTGACGGAGTACTTCAAGGCGTGCGCGGTGGTCCTCCAGTCCCGCGTGAGGTGTTTGACCTGGGCAACACAAAGGCAGGGCTGAACGTGCGGCACCCCCTCTTCTCGCCCACGCGTCCCTCCCCTCCGCGCCTCCACGACACCAACGACTGGGGTGGGAGACACTCAGACACCAGTCAGGGAGTGAGTAAACGAAAAATTTCTCCAGCCACCTCCTCAATGGCTTCTTTCCTTAAAAAGCTTTTAGTAAGATTTATTATAAAAATTGTAAAACAAAAAAGGGAGGAGGCTGGAGAGATGGCTCAGAGGTTAAGAGCACTGGCTGCTCGTCCAGAGGTCCTGAGTTCAATTCCCAGCACCCACATGGTGGCTCTCAACCATCTATATGAGTTCTGGTGCCCTCTGCTGGCCTGCAGCATACATGCAGGCAGAACACTGTATAAATAATAAATAATTATGTCTTTTTAAAAAACTGTAAAATAAATCACACACTGAAATAAGTCAGATCCAAAGCCTGTGTATCTCAATGAACAGTTAGAATCACCGTTCTGAAGCTGTCAAGCTTCACACTGGATTTTTTTTTTAAATTCACTTTATTTACTTTATATCCCAAGGGTTCCCCCTCCCTCCTCTCCTCCCAGCCCCCCTTTCCATTCCTGTACCTCCCCTTTCCTCCCAGAAAAGGGGAGCACCCTTCCCCAGAACATCAAGTCACATCAGGACTGAACATATTCTCATCCCCTGAGGCCAGGCAAGAAAGTCCTGCCAGGGAGAAGTGATCCAAGAGCAGGCAATGGCGCCCATGTTAGAAATACACCCCCTCCGCTCGCTGCGCACTCCATATTCACAGTGGTCTTCACCCTAGACCGTACAACTTCACTCTCAAATGTTTCCTCTGCAGCCATCACCACGAGACCCACGACAAAGTTGCAAGTAGAACAAACAGCCAGCTGTGGCTCCTCTCCTGTCCATCACCTGCACTCAGTCTTTCCTCAGCTAAAACTCCGCCTTTCTTGCTCGCCTTTCTACACAGTAAACTGCACATTTGTTTGCAAGCATAGCATGCCACTGGCTAGATTCTGCATGTGCAAGAAAACACACTTTTGCTTTCTGAGGTTCTGTGACTTCACTCAATATTATACTATTTGTGATTACATTTCCCATAGAGCTGAGTAGTGTTCATACATATATTTATTCACACGTATGAATATATAAATAATGTCTATAATATGCATTCACTGGTGTTGGGCAGCCCAGGCTGACTCCAAGTCTTTGCTGGAGTGAAGCTCTGGTTTCTCTTCTGATGGTAAACATCTTTGCCTCTTTGTGTGTGTTTGTTTTGACAGTGATGGGGATTGAACCTAGTGCCCACAGGGCAAGTGCTCTACCAAGGGGTGCCAGTCCCAGCCTTCCTTTCTTCAGCTTCAGATTTGGGCAGTAGGTCTGGAGTGGTGCTGGGAAGCAGAGAGCTATGTGACAGTAGAAACTCTGCCCAAGCTCACAGGTCAGATTCTGAAGTCCCCAAAGCGGTGGCTCTCACCCTTCTTAGTGCGGGAGACTTTACTACAGCTCCGCATGCTGTGGCAACCCCCAACTGTGATGATGTTTCATTGCCACTTCATGACTGTCATTTTGCCACTGTTATGGATACTAATGTAAATGTCTAATACACAGGATATCTGATATGTGACCTACAAGTTGAGAACCGCAGCTCTGAAACAAGGCTGTTCTATACATAAATGCAAGCTTACTTCCATCCACTAGTAAGACCTGGAAAATGATTTAACCTCCTCACCTGATGAATGTTCAATCTCCTCATTTGAGTGCTAGAAATATAAAAAATGTCTCCTTCATAGTGCTGTCACAAAGGTGAGTTGAGGGGTGATGGCTGTTGGTCAAGTGCTTGTCACATCAGCATGAGGAGCTGAGTTTGACCTCCAGAACTTGTGGGAGAAAGCCAGGCGGGATGGTGTGTGCTTGGAATCCCATCACTGCGCAAGCGGAGACAGCCGCCAGCCAGCCAGCCGCCAGCCAGCCGCCAGCCAGCTTATCCTACCTGGCTAGTTCCAGGCCAGAGAGGGACTCTGTCTCAAAACCAAGGCGGTTGGCTTCTGAGAAGCAACACTTAACACCGATCTTCAGCTGCTACATGTCTGCACATACACATGTTCGTCTGCGTGTGTGTGCGCGCGCGTGCGCACAGAAAATACAGAGAGACACAGAATTTGTACACAGAATTTAAAATGGCACTTCATTCTCCAAGAATGCTCCACAACACTGTGCTACCACCGTCTCAAACACACGTGTCCCAGTGAGTTTGGGGAAGCACTGAGGATTGGATGCAGAGTGCCGGGTGAGCAGTTTCCCATGAGCTATAGCCCCAGGCTTTCACGCTATCGTCCGGGCTAGACTCAAACTCATGACCCTGCCAGTCTAGGCCTCCAAATGCTGGAACTGTAGACAATCACCACCAAATGTTACCACTTCGGAAGGATTTGGAGAGCCTGACAGTCTCTGATGTTGTGATTTACAGCTGGTAAGGAGGAGCCTCCCAATGATCCTCCTTCTTTCTCTGGAATCTCCCCGGAGACTGACAGGCATGGACACCGCGTGGAATCACACGGACCTGGGCCCCTTGAGAACTGATGAAACAAGTCTCCCCTCCCTTCCCCTCCCATGATGGAAACTGCATATTGATGCTGGGTATATGAAAAGCTATATTTATTTCATAAAACGGCAGTTTTGCGGAGGCCCACTTCCAGTGAAGGGCATGCCAGGGAGATGAGTCACCCGCAAGAACTGGCGGGGTGGGTAACCTGAGCCCGCAACGGGAAATCACCCAGAGTCCTCTGGGGTGAGGCCCCTGAGGCTGGTCTGTAGAAGAGCCACCCAACAGAAGAGGTGCAGAAAGCCACACAGCTGGATACCGGGGCAGTGTGAGGAAACCTCCAAAGAGCCCGGAGTCCTGACACTGCTGGAGCCTGTACACTGGCCGCTCTGGCTGTGGCCTCTCTCTTAGCACGAAGAAACCCCAAGCTCCCTGCACAGGGTGACTGGGCTGATCATTATGCCACAGAGAAGCAGGTCTGGGCCTATGGTTAGATTTCTAGTGGACAAGTCAGCCAATCGGGAATCCAAAAGGAATGGCCATCGCAAGGTTGTAGGGAAGCCCAGGCCTGGCACGATGAAGTCGTCTGTGAAAATGGCTGGGAAAGGAGCATGCAGGAGAGGCAGGGAAGTCCCTCCTAAGATTAAAGTCAGAGCAGGAAGCATGTGCTGCCTCACCAGGAAGGGTGAGGACTAGGGCCCAGAGGAGAGCTCTGAAGGACTTGATCACACAGAACAAGAGCCAGGTCCCTTGAGAAACCTTAGCTACTCCCTGGGCACCTCAGGTCTGTGTGTGGGATTCTTTATGATGGTTCCCAGGTGTTACATCAGAGAAGGAAGCAGGGCACTAGAGACAGGGCTCAGTGGTTAAGAGCACTGGCTGCTCTTGTGGAGGACTTGAATTCAATTCCCAGCACCAGGGATGGCGCCCAACACTCTCTAACTCCAGCTGCAGAGGACCCAACGTCCTCTTCAGGACTCTGAGGGTATGCACATGGCACATATACGTACGCTAACACACATCAAATAAAAGAAGTTGTTTTCTTTTAGGAAAATAAACAAGGAGGCATGTCCTCACGCAACCTCTAGAGCTCTGTAAGACCATCAGGAACTCTGTGGGATGACTGAGCATCACTGACAAGCTGACTGGACTGGAAATCCCTACAGCAACACACATCTGGATGCGTTCCTGAGGATGGTCCCGTGAGGGTGCGACCGTGGAGGGCGATGGACTCCAGGCGTGGGCAGCAGCATCTCCTGGCTGGGCCTGACTGAATGAGAACAGAAAGCAAGCCAGGCAGCTCACCCCTCCCTCTGCCTCCTGACTGTGGGGACCCCGTGACCGTGACCGGCTGCCTCCAGCTCACCTTCACCGCCATGACGGGGTGCATGCACCTCAGCTGTGACCCAGGTGCTTTGTCACAGTGGTGAGGAAAGGAACTACCACTTCGCAATCTCCCTGTGTTGGCTGCCTTCCTGGTACGATTTTCATTGTGATTAGCAGGAAACCTTCAAGATAGGAAAGAGTCTCTGCTCTGAATTTGGGGGTGTGGATCTGGGGGTTTCCACCTTGCGGCTGGCTGTGAAGAGAGAATGTTCCTGAGTGAATCTGTGTGTGGCAGCTGGGAAAGGAGAGAAAATCAGAGTTGCTCTTGGAAGCTGTTGGGGATCACAAGTGGGGGGAGGGGGCTGTGTAGGGGGCTGTTAGTTCTCTAGAAAGGGTGATTGCTGTGATCGGGTAGAGCCCGCACATCTCTATGTCTTACATAAATGTGTCCGTGGTTCCCCTGTAGCCTTTCATGGCTCCTTTAGCCTTCGTTGCACTGTAAATGTTTCAAGGAAAGACAGGTGCTGTGTTCATTTTCTAGCTCGTGTACTTAACACAACACTCATCAAATGCAGAGAATAATATGTTTGGTGAATGAATAAAGAAAACCAGTCCAAGAAGAAGGCAGAGTATACCAGGAAGCCAGGCAGAGAAGAGCTCCAAAGCGCGGAGCTTTCTCCGGTGCTTTCTGATAAAGGGCTGATAAAGGGCTCAGACACCTTGGCCAGGACGTACCCTTACATGGACCCACTCCTTACGTAAACTGTTACGCAACAAGCTACAGGATGCTCTTTCATTCTAGTAACACACCCTCCAAGGGAGATACAGAGCTACTATTCCGACTGGTTAGCCAGTCCTCCGAGAGCCGGGAGCTTAGCGCCGATGCTCTAAGCCTGTCCGCAGCAGGGACACGCAGTCTCTGGCCCGGCCGCCCTGAGCATCTCTCCCTCTCCTACACTGTGTTCTCACTGCTACCACGCAGAGCAGATCCTGCTGGAGTCTGTGTTCTCCCCCATCCCGTACCGAGTCAGCTCAGCAAGTGGAAAGCCTGAGCGGGCGGCACGCGATTCCTGACCAAAAGGCATCTCTCAAGGCCTAGAGCAGCCCTGGTGGTGTAGCACCCTCTGGGCATCCATGTACTTGCCAAGAGGGCCCAAACATTACTAAGAACAAGTCACAGTGTTTCTTGATAACCACCAGCTGACATTTGTCCTAAAACTCAAGACCCTTTAGATAGCAAGTAAGTACATTGTCTAGAATGCGCTTGTCTCTCTCACTGTGTGTGCATGTATGTGTGTGTGTGTTCACACACACGCGTACATGGGGACCGGATGTCACCCTTGGGTGCTGTTCCTCTCAGGTTCTGCCCACAGAGCTATTAATTTGTTTATATTCAAGATAGGGTTTCTCACTGGCATGAAGCTCACCCAGTCGATTAAGCTGTCCACCCATTTAGTCCCGATGATCTATTTTTCCCTCCCCAGCTCTGAAATTACAGGCGTGGAACCAAGGTTGGCTTTTTCACACAAGTTCCGGGGCTTGGACCGCTTGCATGGTTAACACTTTGTTGGCTAAGCCGGCTCCCTAGCTCCACTAAATCCCTTCTCGATACTTTTTCTGCTTTTTTGGGCCTCATATTTAATTGAAAAGTCACTAGTCAGGGGGCCTGTGGTAGGGGGTGGGGCGCAAAACAAGACACCCCAAATATTGAACAGCACAAGGTCCGAAGCCCCGGAGATGTCCTGAGTGGCCTTTGAGGGCCTGGCCTCACCTTCTTGAAGGAGGTGAGCAGCTTGACGCTCACGTAGCCCAGCTTGTTCCTCCGCACGTGCTTGAGCAGGAAGGCGTCCTTCTCCAGGTTCTCATCAGAAAAGTAGAACTCAATCTGGTCCACCAGCTTCCTGATGAGCTCCTCGTCTGGCGGCTTCCACTCCGGCTCCAGTTCTTCATGCTCGTTCTCACCTCCACTTGCCGTAGCACTACCGTGGCCAGAGGGAGACAATGAGTCAGTCAGTGGAGGGTTGAACGACCACCTTCCAGATTCGCATATTGAAGCCTTGGGCCCTCAGAGCCAGTCACTGTGGATGCTAACATAAGGATGCGCCCATCGTAGAGAAGGATGGCCCCTGACCCCATGCAGATGAGGTCCTCATAAGAGCCAGGAGCTTGGACATAGACTCAGACAGGGAAATGGCTGCTTGGGATGAAGAATTAAGGTGACAGAAGGAAACCAAGGAGGCTAGGAGAAGCCTGACCGATCATTCCCCAGTACCACGATAGGAAGCAGGCCCCGCCCTAGCTCTTTTTTCTTCTCCCATTTTTAAGTGTACATATCCTCCAAGCTTCTGTCCTTGTATGTACATTGGACTTCACCTGACCTGGACTCCTCGCTTCACACTTGCCACAGGATGCACCTTTGTTGTTATATACATCAGGTGTGCACCTGGTTGCCATAGCAACCCTTGGAAATTAAACTGCTCATCTCTGAATTGACTTTCTCAAACATGGTTGGCCACATGACCATAAGAGGCTCAGAAGGTTCTGTCCTCGGAGAACACCTGAGAAGTCAAGCTTTTATCTTAACAAGTATAGAGGATCTTGAAAATAATAACACAGGGCTGAGAAGATGGCTCATTCGGTTAAAGTGTTTGCCACACGAGTATGAAGCCTGAGTTCAGATGCCCAGCACAAGGTAAAAAGCCAACAGATGGTAGTTCCTGTCTGTGGTCTAGGGGAGCAGAGACAGACAGATCCCTGGGCTTGTTGGGCAGCAAGGTTAGCCAAATTGCTGAGGCCCAGGTTCAAAGTGAGGTTCTGCCTTCAGAGTTAAGGGAGAGGGCGATGGAGGAAGCTGCCAGTGTTGACCTGGCCTCCACGTGTATGCACGTGTACATACAAACACACCTGCACGAAAATAAACTTTTTAAAAAGGATGTAAAAAATACTTATATCAGCAGAGTGTGGTGGCACACGCCTTTAATCCCAGCACTTAGGGAGGCGGAGGCAGGCAGATCTCTGTGAGTTGGAAGCCAGCCTGGTCTACAAAGCAAATCCAGTTCAGCCAAGGCTACACAGAGGAAAAAAAATAGTCACACCACCTGCTGAGATTTCTGTGTCACTCAGATGCTAGCAAAACACATTCACTCTGAAATGACATGCATGGCTCCTGTCTTCCCTCTCCATCTTCCCAACTCCAGGTGTGATTTTTTAGAAGACAGTAGAGCAGACTGTCTGGATCTCAGGGCCTGTCCTAGAGCCCTGGGCTTTCCAAGGCCAGCTGTGCCAGAGATATTCCACACCAGTTATAAACAAAAACTTGATGTGTTATCTGGCTGGGGCAAGTGTCTTCCTTCATGACTGTAGCCACAGCCACCGAGGAGCCCAGCTCAAAGGAGATGCAGCACACGCTCAAGGACAGAAGCTTGGAGGGAGTGAACATTCACACCTGGGGGGAGAAAGGAGAGAGAGCAGGCAGGTAAGGGGGACAAATCTGGATGGTAAATGGCGTTAAATCCTGTAGTGAGGTGCAAGAGGACCAGAGCAGCGTGAGTCCACACAGACACGCTCTGTGTGGAGGGGGATTGTGCAGGCAAGGCCTTCCTGGACCCCTCTCCCAGGCCATGTGAGGTAGCAGACGGAGTGCCATGCAGGGAGGAAGGAGACACAGCTTCTCCAGGAAGCCTGGCTCCAGGCCAGGTCCTCGGGGGGGGGGGGCAGCGGCTCCACTCATTGCCTCCTTTCCACCTTGCTTTGTTTATGAGTTTACCTTTGACTGGGAATCAGCCACTCCAGTTTGGAGGAGAATACCCTGGTCTGCCCCTCTGTGTAAGCCTCTGTGTAATGCACCACAGTCCAGCCAAAGCTCTCCACCGGCCATCACCATACACCTCATCCTACCCTCTGACATCTCTACCGGTCTGGCTCAGAACCCCAGGCTTGTGTTACCATTTCCACTGGTGTAGTGTCTGAAGGCACTCCATTACAAAATGAGAGATCTAGGGTCCCTTCTACCCATGGCCTCTTCTTCCAATGTTAAGACCTTTACTTTACTGTTGGTTTTTTACTAGTCATCTGTCTGACTGTCTGTCTGTCTGGGGATTTGCAGACAGGGTTTCATGTAGTGCAGGCTAGCCTTGACATCACTATGCAGCCATGGATGATCTTGAGCTCCTGATCCTCTTGCCCCCACCTCGCGTGTGTGCTGGGAAGACAACTGTATGCCACCAAGCCTCGATTGCACAGTGCTGGGGATCTAGCCCGGGGCGTCACAGGTGCCAGGCTACACTCTGGCAGCAGAAACCCATCGCCCATCCATTTGCCTTTGAGAGTACATCTAAGATGGTTTCTTACTTCACTGATATTGTTTTAGTTGCTGCTTGTTATGTGGACAGGCGCTGTAGCATCCCAGCTTGCTGTCTCTCTTTCCACGTCCAACCCTCCAAATTTGACCGGAAGAACTTCCACTCCATTTTTGCCACAATTCGTTACCTCACTCTGCTGCACAGGCATATTCCAAGACGATCTGTTTTCTTACTGTGGCCGTGTGAACACAATCCCTGCGCAGCACAGTTATTTGCCAAGCTAACATCTGTCTAAGAGCTGGGTGGGGTTACATCCAGGGTCCTGGGCATACTAGGCACGCACTCTACCACAGAGCTACACACCATCTCTTTTGAGATAGTTTCCATTTGATTTTGAAGCAGGCCATACAGTTTAGCTCAGGCTAGCCTTGACGTCACTGTGTATTCCAGGCTAGCCTTGGGCATCCTAGTGCCCCTACCTTACTCGTGGTGGGATTACAGACAAGCACTGCCATGGCCAGCTAAAACTGTATGCATTTTCTAACATGCTCTGAGAGTCAGGTGACCATCTGAGCTGATCGTCTCTGCTTGTCCTTTAGCGCACCATCTGTCTTGCCTTTGGCTTTGATTTAGGAGCTGGGGGTGTCACTAAGATCATTAAGCATGTGGTGGCTATTCTCTCAATACTTAAAAATGGTTCTTGCTTTTCCAAGCCTTCCTTTCATGTGCCTGTGTGTGTGGGGTATGTTCATATGCATCCATGTATCTGCGTACGTACTGGACCACATGCCTGCCAGCGTCCAGGTGCCAAGGGCGCAAACGCTGTCTCTCACGCTTCTGCAGCAGGTGCAGGACCCCCGAGCCACCTCCCAGCCCAGACAGTGCCCTTTTAAGAGCATCCTGTTCTTATTTGGTGAAAAGAAAACAGCAACTTAAATTCCCTCTCAGGGCACCAACTGGAGCACTGCCAACTTTTTTCTTTTCCCCAAGACAGGGTTTCTCTGTGTAGCCCTGGCTATCCTGGACTCTCCTTGTAGACCAGGCTGGCCTCAAACTCACAGACATCCACCCGTGTGTGCCACCACGCCTGTCTTGGACACTGGCTTTGAAAACACCCCCACCTCCGTGCCTGGACTAATTAATTTTCATGCCAGTGCTTTGCTTCAAGTGACTAATAAACGATCCAATTTTTTTTTGTTGTTGTTTAAAATTTCAATTAGCTTATTTTAGAGTTATGGCAAAGTTATTAAAATAGATAGCACAGTGAGTTCCATATGCCTCTCACCAGGCTTATTTATTATTAATATATCCTATTGCTCTAGCATGCTTCTCAACGAGATGACAATTATACAGTGTCATTAGCTGAGGTGCGCAGTTGTGTGGACTCTTTCATCTCCCCCTAAGGTGCGCCCCCCCCCCCCAGGATGCCACACCGCGTGCCGTATCACGAATCTCCCGAGGCTCCTCTTGGCTGGGGCTTTCTCCAAAAGTCAGTGTTGAAGTGTCCTGGTTAGGTATGTCGTGGAATGTCTTGCCATTGAAGTTCCTCTGATGCCGTGATGATTTTAAAGTGTGGGATCTGGGGACCAGGCCCGCAGAGCTAAAGGAGCATCTGTTATACATTGTATCAGTATACGGTTAACAATCCAACTTTGCACTGTGCTGGTGAGGTTTCTCCACTGCAAAACCATTCCTTTAACTTGGAAGAAATCAGGAGTCCTCTCCCACTTCCGGAGGGAAGTTAGATGCCATACTCATCAGCTGGAAGAAGCAGGACCTGGCACTTTGGCTTGGTGGGTTGGTGGCTCCCCCTGCAGCTCTGATATTTGATGGAGGTAGGCTTCAATTCAGGGCAAACAGGCAGGCAGAGAGCCATCAGGCTAAGCCTTCCCACCAAGGCAGACAGGCTTTCTCCTGCAGCTCCCAGCTTCCCCTTAGCCTCCCCAGGATTCTGTGGCACATTCAATTACTTCAGAAAACAACCTCACTTCCTTTCTCCTGCTTGGCAGTATCTGCCTTGCTGCCTGCGTCTCCTTGATGGTAGACAGAGGCTGGAAAATAGGTCTAAAGGGAAAATAGAACTTCAGTTACAGTTCAGATATCGCATCTCTTTTTGTTCTCGCATTTTCTTCCATTTCCCAAGCAGAGCCCTTCTGGGGCTCTATCTTCCCACCTCCTCCCACCTCCTGTACTGTATTTTGGGCTCCAGCCTCCTCCACACAATGCCACATTACATATTGTGGAGAAGCCTATAACACGCAGTGGTTCTACTTGAACAATATTACTACTGATTGCAACTGGGTTTTCCTTGCCCGTGGAACAAAACCTGAAGCGCTTAGCTCCATCTTCAAGTGCACTTAGAAGCTGGCTGTCTCCGTCTTGCAAGCTTGTTTCCATTTACTTCCTTCAATCCTTTGCAGCAAGCAAATACAAAGACCCGTGTCGCAAGCCTTCTCGCTTCATACCTTTGCGCAGGCTACCCTCGACTCCTTGAGCAGCTTGTCCCCTCTTAGCCAGCATCGCAAAAGGGACTCTCCAGGAAGGAAATGGCCCCTCCTCCTCTATGCTTGTCTTTGTTTGTGCCACAGTTCCTCATGTGCACACGTCATCAGCACCCTGAATCTTAAGTTGAAGGCAGGTTTCATAGTGGCTTCTCTTATTCTAGTACTATTTAAGAG